AGTAGTGACTTCACCAATGAGGGGCTCAAATCAACGCAGCTAGAGTTCGACCGTACTGCTAAATAGTCCTCTTATTGATCTCATCAATACAAAAAAACAACAAATTGAACTGAAATCAAAAGTGGAATTTAAGCCTTATAAATGATTCTCCTGTTAATTCAAACCAAACATTTTGAACTGCTCTGACTTCTCTGACTTATTTAGCAGCCCCCAAAGTGAACTCCTCATCAGGAATGTATCACTCACATGTTTTATTCAGCTACTATAATTTATTCAAGGACATTTTTTTTTCTCACACATATATCACCAGGCAGTACTGAACGGTGGTGTACATGTGTAAAATTACACATCGGGCTTTAGCATTAGCATTTCTTATTGTAGTCCAAGATGGCGGACAGTTCAGGGCTGAAGGGTTTAGGGCTTTGACACCAGCAGAATCGTGGACACAATTGGTTACTGCCATAATTTTTCTCCATCCAACTGTGTGCCCCACTGGGTCTGTTTCTGGAACGTGAGCGCAGCAGCAGAGCGATGGTAACTTGATATGCTAATATTGGCTGATAATATTATCGGCCGGCCGATCAATCGGTCAGGCTGTAATTAATTGGTCAGGCTCTGATTAACACTGGTGTACCGCATAGCAACAAAAATCAGGTTATTTAAGGGATTGGCAGCTTATTGTATTGATTATCTTGTTTTTTTGTTTTTTTGTTTTGGGGTCTCCTTGTATCTATGAATCAAGCAACATCTGATTTGCTTCCCCTTAACTCAGATCTTTACTCGAGGATATGCCAGCTCACTCAGTACGGAGCATGACCTCGTTGGAATCGCAGTTGACTGGAAATAACCGATGTACCAAACTGTGGAAACGTATTTGTTCTTGTTAACTTACACAACTGGCCCATGAGAAAGGCTGCATGTGTACAGCATGTCTGTGCATTTCCACTCCCGAGGGCAGATCAGTGTATGTCATGGTCGGTTGGACAGTCACATGACTCTACAGTGAATGAACACATTGGTAACAATAAATCATCCAGAGACTGCAGCCGTTCTGTTGTTAGTTTAAACCCAACACACACAAAACCTTTGCTTAGTCAGAGGACGTTGTGAACAGGGCGTTTGTGTACCATTTGTCATCTTGACTCATCCGCCCTTTGGAAAATGTTGTCATCACTAGAGCGTAGTTTTGCAGATTTTTTTAAGCTAAAAGTCCATCCTCTCTGTCTTTTCCCTGCTCCACTTGTGAGACAATGTGTGCTCAAACAGGCCGTTTGGAGATTATTCCCTTTGTGACATCACAAAGGGCAGTAACCCCTCCCCCAGGTGGGTGACACTCTCACAGCTAGGTGTTTGTTCTGCCCTCTGAGTCTGCCTTCTCACCGTAAACGACAGGGCATGGAGCGTGAAAGCCCGAGCCTCATCCCCTTTCAGAAAGGGGCGTGGTCAGACACAGCTCATTTGCATTTAAAGGTACAGACACAGAAACAGTCTGTTCTGAGCAAGGGTGAAATAGAGGGGTTTAAAGGCATGATCAAATACAGGATCAGAGTGGATTTAGAACAAGAAACTTCACAAATATGCTTTGTGGAGCTCTGAGACGTATTTAAAGTTGTTGAAAAGGAGGATTATATGTGACCTTTAAGAGTTTCATTTAGGATCCACATGTCTGACAGTTTCAGTTGAATTTGTAGGATCGTGCAGCTTTGTGGAGGTGTCCAATCTCAGACTCCTTTTGAAGGTGAAACATGTGACTGAAAAAGTACATAACACCTAAAGTCAGGCGTCTCTCTGCTGTCATCGATCCGTGCATGAAAGACAATCTACAGAGGTGGACTTATGATGTGTTCTTTACTTCTCTTTTCTCAGGCAGTGATGTGGTTTATTAGACAATGATTTACAGATGGATTAATTCAGGTCAGGAACCTCGTCCACGTTTTACTAACGTTTTGTCTCCAGGCCTGTTTTTGGACTCTGTGAGGCAACACATGATGACAATGAACCAACTAGGCCCGCTAATGAGGACCTTGTGGGCCCGGATTCCTCCGAGGCTGTGTGTGTGTGTGTGACCATGTGTTTCTCCTGCATGTGTGTGCCAAAGACTGAGGATTGTGCATGCACATCCTCAGAAGCCCCTCCAAATTGTGATGGAACAAACTTAAATCCACATTTCATTTGCAGATAATGCATGATTTTTTTATTTAACTCCCTCCAGTAGCTCTTCTTCTTCTGGCAGTTACAAATGCCTCTGTGTGGACGAGTTCATACGTACCTATTTGTGCGTGCGTGTTTTTTTTTTTTTTTTTTTGTCTTTCAACTCGGCCAACTGGGTAACGCTACTGTGAGCCAAGTCATTAGCCGCTGAAATAAAGCAGCTTTGTTTTTGTTGTCATGGTCCACCAAATTCTATTAAAAAATCCGGCGTCTTTCCAAGAACAAAACCCAAAGGGGGACAAAAGAAAAAAATGGATGAAGAGAACCCAAAGTGCGTTATCTGAAATAAACTGCCTCTCCGCGTCCGCTGATGAAAATTAGTCCGAAAAACCTCGTTCAGCAGGATGCTACATGCTAATTGGAACCCTGGAATAAGTGTCCAGACTCTCACAATAACTGGTTCTCTCTCCATCAGCCAGACCTTAAGAATCCCCCTCACATGCAGAGTCAGACTCCCAAATGCTCACTCATTACCTTTCCAATATGTCTACTCCCAAAGCAGTTAAATCCACTTCTCTTTTTTTTTTTTTTTTTGGGGGGAGGGGGGGTCTGTGAGGTGATTTAATACCCCATCAGGCAACGCAAAGAGGATTGAAACCAAAAGCCATGAAATCTTTGTCTTACCTCTTCTCCTTTTTCCTGTTATCTCCCGCTTTTGTCGCCCTCTGTGGCTGGTTTTGTGTATTACCATTATCACACGTGGTCATTTGGGATATTTGCAAGAACAAGAGGCAAAAGTGTGTTGATTTCTGCAAGTTTGAACCCACTGCTGGAAGCTATTCCAGGCGGATGGCTGACCTCTAGTGGTGAAACTGGAGAGTTACATGTAACACAACCTGAGTAATAAAAAGAAGGTTTATGTGGCCAACAGATAAATGTAATAAAAGACTGAGTATTTCCAAGAAACCAGGAAACACAAACATTATTAAAGGAGTGAATAACCCACCATATACCACACAAACACCACCTACAAGAGCGTGTTATTTCTGGAGTTCCCCTGCAGGACTGTGACATCGTTTTTCCATGTGACGCTCTATGATTTTGTGTTTTTCTTTATTGATCTTTGGAAATTCCACCTCAGGGCACATTTACCTCCTTGCTGAGCTTGCTCCCAGAGCCATCTTAAGATTGCGTCTTTTGTCCGACCAACCGTCTAATAATTGGACTGTGCTTATTGATTCATTGAACGGGTTCAACATGTTGAATCGGCTGGAAAAAGGCAGTAGCGTTGCGACGGGCTATTTCCATACTTTGATATCCCCATAAGACACCTTTGCACTACATTAGCTTTGGTTTGCTAGCATGCATGCTTTCCTGTTAAAGGGGTTAAACTAAACAGAACATTCAGACATCGTCCTCTCTGCAGGAAGCAACCTCTCAGACGTGTTGATTTACTTTGGCCTGAGCCCTGCAGGCTTTTTTTCTGCCATCTTGAGTGATGACTCATCTGACCCTCTGACATTTCCCCTTTGCTCACTAGTCCACTGCCTCTCTTCGTTTTTGCAACACTTCCCTCACAACCATGTACTTTTCAAGGCCTAATAAGAGGTTTACGCGCCGCAGCTCAACCTGCACAGCTCCGTCAAGATTTTGAAAGTGAGACGCTGAAACAGTCGGCTCACGCCTCGCTCTGACATTTACAGCCGAGTGAGTCACAGTTGGGTTTTTTTTTTCTTTCTCTTTGTCAGTACATCTGAAGTCAGAGGCGAAGCTGTGAGGGTTAAGAGGTGAGGATGACATCTTATTTTCTCAGACTTCAGGGCTCCCTTAGCTCTTCAATGGCTGAATCCTCCCCTCTAACACTAAACTAGTAGAAAGGTGCAAGGTAGGAAAGGTACCACCACCACCGCCTCATTTTGAGCCAGGACAAAAACCTTGATAATGTATACATGTGCATAAGAACATTTAATCGCACACAAAAATCCAACTCCAATTCATAATGCAAAATGTCTGAAAGTAATGTTGCATCCATCTTTCATGAAAGTAGAACATGATTTAGTTAGTGCACTCTGCATAAGTCTTAGAGCGAGCTCTGTGATTCCCAGAGTGGGCCTCTAACTCATCAGTAAAAAAGCATTAAGAGCAAGAAGCCACCCTCCAGAGGAGAGCGTCCCAGCTTTTCCCAAACCATTTTTGGCTCAGCAGACACATCTAGAGCTTGCAGTAATTTGTGCCTTTTTAACAAATATAACTCCTTTGCAAGGAAATCAAATAAACCCAACGTAGTGAACGTAGAGCAACCATAAAAATAATGATTTGCAATTGGTAATCCATGTCAAATTGAAGTTTAATTTAAAAAATCATTGGGCATGAATCAAATCTTTGAGAACAGAAGATGATTGTTGGCTCTCTCTCTCTCTTTCATCAGCAGAGGGCGCCATCTCTCTTTTTGCACGTCGTAGTCCAAATGGGGATAATGTTTTTACACAAATGAAAAATGATTACTGTTGGACAAGCTTCTGCTCACTTATGCTAAGCTAGGCTAATTGGCTCATATTTCTTCATTTATTTCTAACACACCTTATGCACCCTGGTGCACCTTAGAAACATAACTCCAAACATAAGCAGATACTTGCTATGAAAGCCCCAATGAGGAAAAGTATACCATGTAATTAGAGCCCCACCGATTTATCATCCAGCCGATATTATCCGCCGATATCAGCATATCAAGATTTAATTTTTGTTTTTTTTTTGTGCCTTTTATTGGAGCTTAGGACAGTGGAAAGAGTTGTTTTATATGACATAATGTGCTGATACATACATTCTCTTTTTGAAACGTTACCAAAGCATTGACCTTAACACCAGGTTTTATTTGAGCATATTTAATTCCATTGTAGCATATTGATGACACACGGTACAAAAACAAATACCAGACTTTCCTTTACAACTTGGACCCAGTAAACCCCACAAAAAATATCACCAAAAAACGCCATGAAACCAAGCTTTCCTTCGTCTCATGGTGACTTAAACAAGACAAACAGTCTTTGTGTTGGAGGACAAAGCTAGGACCACAAGGAGTAGGCCTCCTCTTTTTTCCATGTTGAATAAAAAAATGTTATATTGTATTTATATATTACAACACTCGACATAGAAAAGTCATCCAAGAAAAAAAAAAAACTCATAAAATATGGACCTTTAGCAATGCATGGAGAAGCAGCTTTTAAGAGCAGGATGTATGGCACATTTATTTCCTCAGATATACACATTTACATAAAAAAGGTGCTTATAATTACAAGCTAACTGTTTAAATTAGCAAAGATGGATCCCATGAAGAGAGAAAAAAAGTGAACTGTTGGAAGCATCATGGCAATGCACATGCTTTGACAGCAGATGGCGCCAAAACCCTTCACTACTTTTTTCCGTTTCTACATACTTATCTTCAGGTCACATTCAAGAGATGTCCTTTAATACAGAGTGTGCACTGATACATGTCTGCAATGGCAAATACTACACCATTAGTTGAGAATAATGTGAAATATTTGCCAGCAAATACCCACTAAAATATGACATTTGAGAAGGTTTGGACAGACTGGTTGTGTGTGTGATCAAAAACTTCTCCCCCAACTGTATGGCCAACAATACTGGATAGCATTGACAAAACAAATGAGCACACCTTTTTGTTTTTCCAATGAAAACTGAAGCCACTAAGACAGACAGCTAGTAATACCCCAGTTTAAAGATTATTGAAAGGTCTGATTGAAAGAATAGATCTGTGTCCTATTACTGCAGTGGATCATTTCAAGGCGGGATGTTACGGTCTTAGCAAAATGCACACTTTAAGCCAACTTCTGATCAGTCTTTTCTTGAACTTGAACTTTGAACATGGGAAATGTAGTTCCAATCTGAGGTAATGAGATGTATGCTCAGCGTATATATTGAAATATTTCATACCAATCAGAAGAGGGCAAGTGGACAATTAGTTGCATAACATTTGAGCAATGTAAGAAACAATTCAAAACATCATTGAAGATACATTTAGAACCTTTTTTTCAGTAGCTCTAAATTTGTCCCATTTGGCCTTCCATACACAAGTTCTATATGACTGTGTGGCAGCATGTCTACTATTTGATTTTATCACTTTATTTTATGGATGGATATACTTTTTGAAATATTGAATAAATGACATGCTGGAAATGAGCCACATAGGCCAATGGCGCCCCAATAATTCAATACTTTTTGATACCACATGTTTTAAAACGATACAATCTGTGTTATTCTATTCATCAATATAAAAGGTTATCAAAAGTGCAGAAGCTCTCAAAAGACTTCAGAGCTTCAGTCATATATTCAACCAAAAGCTGCCATGAGCAAAAGAGAAAGAGCACTGTCTACGTTGCACAAATACTGGTATTTTTGGTATTTCTGCAAATTAGAAAGTGTGTTGCATTTGATACGAAATGAATGGTCATTAAAAACAGGAAATTGACTTGTGATTGATGTTTAAGACTTCTATTTTTGTTGCTTTGGATTTGAAATTGGTGCCAATATCGTTTGATTTTTACTAGAACCGTATCTAAAATTTTAAATTCTGGTGTCATGACAACAATAGTTGGCAACATAATCCATTTACACCAGTCTTGACAAGAGACGTCATGCTTTCGAGTCATAAACTGACCCCCTCCCCTCATACTTTGATGCTTAAATTTCTGACCAACACCAGCCAATGGTCACACAAGCTCTTGAACCATTTTACAAGAAATCCCTTAATGAAATGAACACAACTGTACGATAAATGTCCTGTAGTATAAAAAGAAAAGACTTTGGCACATTGTTCCCGCACTAAGTGGCAATATAAGCAAAGTTACAGCTGAGTGCTTGATAACTAGGTTCAAGCTATTTCGCCATAAGTGAAGTACATTCAATATTAGAGACAAAAACAGCAGTCGTACGAACACCAACATTTAGACTGCCAGTTAAAGGGCTGAAGTACTATTAGTAGATTGGCAAATTATACACTTTACATATAGATATTGTTAAGGAGGTCTATCAACAGTTTGTATATACAGTCATACATAATCTTACACTGATACATATTTCAACATTTGATCTTTTTGTACCGATGTGGCTCAACTACGACACCAGTACTCACGTAAAATTCAACATTTAGCAGCAGTTTACTACTAGTTCCATCAAAAACTGTTTTTAAAATATATAAAAATCAATGCATTGAAATCGTAACAAATCATTTGTTCTCCATTGATATATGAAGACTTGACTCACTAGGAAAAGCATAAATGGTAATGGTAACATCATGAAAACATTTTTGAGGTATTTCTTGTGGGCATTTTTAAGGACAACACATATAGGGGGCTAGACGCAGAAGCTACATCCACACTCAACACTTGTGGCTCTTGAATGTAAAAGTCTGGATAAGGCGGCAGCTGCGGATGTAAACAACAGCGGCATTGTGCTCACATGTAGGATAAGAAAGAAGGTCTTTTGGAAAGGATAAAATCCATAGATGAAGGGATAAAAGGTAAAATAAAGTATTATTTAAGGAGTGATTGTCATTGTTGGGCTTTGATCCTACCAATTCACCAGTTTCAAAGGGCAGCCATTTTCCCCCAGTCTTGGGCTTTGGTTGGAAAGTTCAAATGCTTTCACAATGTCACACGACTGTGTTTGAACATATCGTCCCTTAACTGCTGCTTATTGATTAGCTACAGGAAGTACAAGTGATGGTGAAGACACAGAAAAGGCTGTATCTCAAGTTAAAACAATATAACTAAAAACCCGTAAGCTACCATGGAAAACAGCAAACATAATCATTTAACCATTTCCTTTCTAACATGTCACTCAATGCAATAGGAAAAGCCTAAATGAATGGCTAACATCGCCAGTAGCTTCTGCATGATTAGCAAGTCAAGGTGGACTATGCTTAACAAGTTAGCTTACTAGGGTCCGACCGATATGAGATTTTTGGGGCTGATATCGATATTGGGGAGAAACAAATCTGAGACTCATATATTGGTCAATATCTTTCTTAGATCTATAAATATGTGGAGATGGATAGATAGATCGTTTTATTGACGTATATCTGAGATAAAATTAGCCAATACTGATAGTTACCGGATAAGCAAATATCGGCCGATACTATTGGCTGGCTTATTCATAGGTCGGGCTTTAACCAATAAGGAAAGGCATAAATTACTAGCCAATAGTTAGCTAGAATTTGCACCTTTCCCATTGTAATATGGGATATTTTCAAACATTGATATTGGCTCGCTTGCTAGCCGTTAGCTGGATGTGTATATATGCCTTTCCTATCCTATTGTGTCGCACACACAGTAATGTAAGGTCAGAAGTGGTTGAATGCTAATGTCAATAGTCGACTAACAGTAGCTCATGGGTGATCAGATATTGTTTTACCTTTGAAGATGGAAAGACATGTCAGGTTCTCTGTGTTTAAATGTGATTTGAAACCAAGACCATGATAGTATGTGATTTTAACAGGATAAGAGCTTCCCACTATTAGCTTGATAAAAGAAGGAAAATGGCCCCTGTGTGGAAAATGGTCAATGGTGGGCGAGCAGAGCAGCAGTTCATAATCTCAGCTCAAACTAGAGTTTCAGGCAGTGCGTCAGCATTGTCCGAGGAAAGCAGTTGCCAGATCTGCCACCGGTCCCTCTGCCAGTCTTGCCACTCCGGTGTATGCGGCACAATTTGGGTCTCTGTCGTTGAGGCTGAGTTACTCTGCACTGCACTGAGCCTCCCGTGCTGAAGCGCCGGCTGCTGCGCTGTTGCTAGCTGGGGTGAACTTTGTGTGCTAGCCAGTCGATGGTGGGCATTATAAGGGGGAGGACAGCGGCTGTCGTTGGGGCAACCATCACTAGTGTTCGCTCCACCGTGAGATCTCGAGACTGCTCGATGAGTGCTGTTGAGGTGTGACATCACAGACGGGTTGATGCTGAGCTGCAGGCGTGGCCGTCCCGACCCGACGTGAGGGCTGGTGCACACCCTGGTGACCGGGGGGTGTGGTCTGATCTCAGTCATGCCATGCCGTTGTAGCGTTGTCTGATGCCTGCCATCCCCGTGGAGTCCGTCGAGACCTTCCTGTGAGCTGCGGGAGCTTCCCTCTGACATGTTGCCATGGGAACCTGGAAGCACAACATAGGTGGAATTAATCCTAGGTTAATAAATAAAAAGGAAAACACACATTACTCAGTGTGACAAAACTGTAGAAAGATATGCTCCATCTTATATTAAACTGAGTACATTTTCAGTACCTGCAAATCATTCTCCTCAAACTACTGCAGCTGTTACATTCTGTACTGGAGTATTAAGCAGCTGGCTAATTAGCTGAATGTATTAACGTTGAATCACAGATGAAGTGTAAATTAGTTTCAAATTAGAAAGCTAGAAATGGATAAAAACCCAGCAGAATGCTGATTAGTTGCTAAAGTAATTGCTCCTGATTAAAGCATTTTGAACAGAGCTTTTTACTCTTTTAAAGGAGCAATATGTGACTCTGATGCAAGCGTTTAAAATTGGTAAGCAGTCTAAATTCATAACGTTGGAGCTGTCTTCCCTCTCCCTTTCACCCCGAGAGTCGAGGTGCACGCAGGTTACCATTTTGCGGACATGGAAGCTTCAGTGTTTAGCCCTGTGCCAGCTCTGCATTGGCCTTAAAAGATTTCTGCGTTCTCCAATAAGGATCATATTTTTACCAAGGTAATTGACAAGGTTTTTAAGTCGGGTATATCTCTACCAGTTTGCTTGCCGGATGCCGTCGCTGCAACACCTGTCGGTTTGACCTGATAACTGGTCTCATATCTGGCAAACTGAGGGGCGTCTAAAACGGGTGTGGGTGTGCCTTAAAACCGCCAACCTTTTCTCTTCCAAACAAATCCAGACCATTCAGGACCAGAATCTTAGAAGGAGGACATACTGGCTGCTGCATTGTCATCAGAGAAGCCAGCACTTCAACATAGCTTCAACATGCTATAGTAAGGTTTTAAGATTTAATACAGTAGATATCTTACAGATTGCCCCTTTAAATACTGTTTTTTAATCCACAAGGAAGCTATTGGCCAGGGCTCATGAACAAGTTTTTACCTGTGTATGGTTGGTCCTTAAGCGCTGGTTTCAGGGTCGTGTGCCACGTCCCCCAAATATTGGCATGCTCCTCTGATACAGTTTCTGAATGAAGCCAATAAATATGACAATTCACTCGTTGTAGTGTTAAAAAATCCGATTACAAATCTCAGAGAGATGCTTAGCTTACCTTTGGAACCCCAAGTGTCCGCTCCAGGCAGAGTGAAGTGTTCAGGAACGCGGTAAAGCTGCTCGCTGCCCGGACTTCCTGTTTCTCCTCTCCGCTCGCTTAATACTGGCGAGTTGTTGTCGTAAGGAGACACCTCACCGCTGGACGCTTTGTTGGAATCGCTGGAGGAGCGGCGCTCGCTCAGGGTGAAGGGCTCCTCTGTCTGCAGCATGTCAGGGCTCCTGTGATGGAGTTAGAGATGTGTCAAGATAGTGATGGAACATGGAAACACAAACATGAGGAGATCTTGTATAACTCACTGGGATGCTTTTCTTCTCAAAAGGTAGTCCACCACATCTGGATCAGTGTCCAAAAGACTCATCAAAACCTCATTTTGCAGATCAGGAGGCACCTAAAAGACAAGTGAACTATTAGCGGAGGTGAAAAATAAAGTAAATGGTCGTCTTGGAACCTGAACAGAAGTTAAGGGCCAAAGAAGATTAATTCTTTCATTCCTTTATAGGGGACAATTAAATGTTTTGAATGCTTGTTTTGTTGCCTTAATATTAACACCCCTAGTAATTGTCTGAATGTGATTTGTATGAATTTGTCTAAAATCTGGGCTCCATATCAATGAGGATTATTATGACTTTCCCAACACCTTCTGTCCACACTCGATTCTAATCCTTAATTTCTCTGAAAGCAGACATTGCCAAATCCAAACATAACCATGTTACGAAACAACTTTGAGATGTCATTCAGAGAACCTGAGCCACCTAAAACTCTGTTATTACTCCCAAAGACTGAGCAAGTCAGACCCAATTCACAATATGTGATTTAAAAAGTCGTTTATTGGCTCACTGCAGGAATGTAAGCCTCGGCGGGACTGGCAGTGGCAGATTATAAAACATTACGGTTTACGGTTTTTGGACTTGAGGTGACCTGAACTGGCTGTCCACACTGGTTGAGAAAAAAAAAAAAAGAGGAACAAAAGCAACTGATGAGCATTAATCCTTGCAAAATCATGCCCTCTTCTGACACCACAAGAAGGATTTCATGCTTGAATTGACCGTTTCTATTTTGCAAAGATCAAGCTCAGGTTCTTCCCTGAATGGTTCTCATTGTTTCTGTTGGCTGACTGGCAAGATTTAACTGTATTTTTTAAATACTAATGCAAAGAATCAGGTATTATTCCACCCAAAACAGTCGTCATCCACCTGTCATCTCGCATTCTCGTAGTTTTTTCTCACTTTTATCCGCCTTCTCTGAGTCTGTTTTGTCATTCACTGATTCTAAACCATTGTCCGCTAAGCCAAAGAGGGATTGTCTTACCTTAAGCCTACACAAAAATGTGAGGGGGGGTAAGTGTGTGTTTAGCAAGGGAGTGGATGAATGAAAGAAGGAAGTTGAGGACTGACCATGAAAAGGGTCTGGTAGCTGGCGATCATCCTCTGCAACACGGCAATGACGGCCGTGCTCTCCTCCGCCCGGGCCATGCTCTGGACGCTGAACTCTTTGTCCGAGGTCTTCTGCTTGTGGAGCAGGTTTGGGCCGAAGATGGTCGCTAGGTTCAAAGACGTCATCTTGTTCCCTGTGATCTGCATTTGGAAAGACCAATAATGGGACAAAAGTTCATGCTTAGCCGTTGAGGAAGTCTTAAACTGGTCCCATTGGACAAGGCCTACTGGGCTTTAGCAGCTTGAGCCCTTAGAAACAAACCTCCTCTTGCTATCTCCTGTCTCCCCACCCAGTTTCCCACTGACATTGCTATCATCTCATGTTGGTTTTATCACCTCTCCCTCAACCATTCTGTATCTCCATCACATCCGTCCTCTCTGGTTTTGCCAATGGGCACATAGGGTGAGTCGGCACTGGAAATGTTGGACACTATGACAGCTGAATCTGTTCCTACCATCAGTGTTGGCTGATGGTGTGCATCCTGTGATACAACCAGCAGCTAAAGTTAAAGGCCTTCTTTTTTTAGTGATAACTTTCTTTCCCAGCTTCCTTTCCTTTCCACTCCCAGTCCCAAAGGAGAGATGGGAGCCCCTAGTGGTCAAACGTATGAATGTGTCTCTTCAAGCCAAAACATACTTCCATCTGTGCACAAACACGCCAGGACACACCCCTCTCCCCTCCCCCTCTCACACACACTCAAAGAAACAAGAGTTTCTCTTCTCCACACACACATTCATGAGTCCATGACGCGGGAGTGAATGGCTAAACGGGGATTGGGACTTGGACGCGTGTTGAATATTGTTCAACTTTTGCAGAATCGTGTTTCCAGCCTGATGATTTAGTTATAGTTTGATGGGGCATTCTTCTGAAAAGGTCCAGCTGGAAGGTTCTTGAGAGCGTTATGTTTTTCAGTCGAGCTTTGGGTGCGTCTGGCTGCTACACCCAATTTCATGCTGTTTCAGGCCTAATGTGCCTGGAGGAATATACAAACTGCACAAACTGATTCTTATCACTTCTAGGGTCATTTTCTCCCAATGAGGTGGAAATGCAAGGCAAACAGGATGCTTACAAGCTGCCTGAAATGTGCTGGCACTGGTTTGTAGGCGACTAAAACTTCAATTTGGATGTTTTGGACTGTTCCTTCCAATTTTCACATAGTGCATGCTAGCAGCTGCTGTTTGCACTAGGGTTTTGCCGAGATGGCGCGTGCCCTTCCCCACTGGGTCTGTTTCTGAAGCGTGAGCGCAGCCCGGAGGCAGCTGCAGGGACTGCGTCGCTCTGGAAATTGGGAGTAAGACATCTCTTAACGCTCACCTCCTGTCCGTCTTTGTCTGCCGATCTTGAGCGTGGTCGGTCACTGTGGACAGAAACTCCAGGAGGCGATGGAGGGTATCGCTGTTGCATGCTGGGAGCAGGTAAACCAGTAGCTGTGTGACTGTCGTCTGCTCATCGTGATCCAACACTGCAAAGGGGGGAAAAGGACGGATTGGTTGCAAAATCAAAACTGAGATGAGAGCAGGAGAGTGAGCAAAGGGATAAGAGAAGCTAACGCTAACATGTGGTGTTGATGAAGGCCGTGTAAAGCTCCTTGGTAAGAAGAGGGTCGGGCATGTCCCTGAGGAACTCCTTCAGCAGAGCGGCCACGTCATGGATGCTGTGCTCCTCTTCCAGCTGGACGTCGACGCCCCGATCAAACTCCTCACGCAGCTAAAAAAAGAAGAGGGGAGAAGCCGAGGGAGAAAGAGAGGAAGACGGCAAATGAAAAAAAAACATCCCCCACACATAGAACAACGGAAATTATATTCCATGTGGCGCACACACCCACTTCGACTCACTTCCTGTAAGCCCCCCACCCCTAGTGACCTCGTAGGGTTCAAACTTGTTTTACAAATCTTTTCAATGTGACCCTTGGATGACTTCCACAGAAAAAAAAGTCTATTATTGGCCATACACTTGTAATTTGTACTGCATATTGACCTTACTTTCAGAGTAAATTAAGTTAACAAATCCTCATCTCACAGGAAGCTGACAGTGGTGGCAATTGAATAAATGTTAACATTAGATTATATAAACACAGAGCGGTGGAGAATGAAAATAGATTGAACACTTGTCACACATGATATACAGATGTGTGAAAAATAACAGCTTGATGAAGAGAGTTTACAATACAGTCCAATAATGATAAACATACACAGGCGCCGAACGCTCAATCTCATGAAGCACATTTTAGTGTCCAACCAAACGAAGCGAAAATACTCTGGGCTTAACTGGGAACATCTCGGAGGTACCACCCTAAAGTACCTCCAGGCAAAAACCTGCTTTCCTTGGCACTTAAAAAACAATCAATCAAATCGATCTTTCTTGGGAACATGGCTCAATCAGTCTCTATCGAAAACCAGTTTCATCAAGTGATTGAATCAGTTAAAACACAGTGATTGCATATTTTTTTATCTGGGGGTCAGTCTTATCCTCTTTTCCAATGTAACACCAACTCTGCTTTAATGAAGCGACTTTTAGACGTCTCTCTGGATGTGTTCTTTGAAGCCTTGCATGTGTATGTGGATGAATAAATAACCTATTCTCCCTGAGCAACAAACAAACCTCTTTCGAGCCCTGTGGCTGCTACTAATGGAAGTCAGTGTAAACACAATCATCAGAAAGAATTATGTGAAGAACAATGTAGCCCACACTGATTGACCCATGATTTTTCACCCTGTTTTAACATATTCTCTTGTGCTCGATGGGATCAAAGGTAAAATATAATAATAGGTGTAGGAGTAGGCTGATCTCACAATTGAGCATACGTAACCAAACGGCATCAGTGTACATATATCTGATAAGTAGTATGCCTTTGAATTTGTATTTTTTTGCATTAATTCAGTAGCAAAAGCACAAGAAGGAGTTTTGGCACATTTGCCAACAAAGCAACACTTTGGTGGACTGTGTTGGTTACCACACAATCGTTTCTTGGATAGGAGGTTTTGTTTGTTGCTGTTGACTCTCAGATGGAAAATTAGTGCGAATAACATTCATCACGTGCATAACTCATCCCACTTTCTGCAAATATAGCCTCTGATTGTTGTGAGATTGTTGTGAACATGGCATGTTCTTAAAAAAAGCCACTTGCAAAGGAACATTAGAGGCAAATGAGTTTGATGAGTATGACAAGGATACGATGCTGTTACCTTTTGAAACACCTTTGAAATTCTATAGTGCCACACCATAAATTGACCCAATAAGCTCACCAAAGTTGGAACCAAATTGTTTGCACATGGAGTGTTCTTGGCTATCCAACCAATATCAAACCAAGGCACCAACGTGCCCTCTGTTTCCATTGGGCATGAGGTCCTTTAAGGGGTTACTAATATGTTGGTGTAGTGCCCTTTCAAAGCTCTCCACAGGGCCCATAATGTATAGATGTAGCTACCATGGCATCTGTTTAGTATCAACATTTGCTTCCCAGATGGTATGCCCAATCAGGCCCATTGGTATTCCTCTTGGTGGCTCATGTTTGCCCCAACACTAACCCAATTTAAAGTCCATTCCGAGCCTATTCCCAGTTAAAGCTTGGACGTGTTGAATTTGAAGAGAGTTCTTGTAAAAATGTGTACCTGTCGGACTCTCTTCTTGGAGCTTCCCACTCTGAAGATCCCTACCGTCTGCAAACCTGAGTGGAGACAGAAAATAAATCAACTTTAAAGTATACTTGAGGAATTGTTGTCTTTGTTAGAACTACCAGAGGGTTAAAGACTGAATTAACATAAAGTGTTAATTGTAGCGTGGTTTGCTGTGGTGAAGTATCTGCTCACCATTTTTCTCAATGTGCTGGCAACAGCTGTCGACCACCCGCGGCACCTGCCGGTAAATGGGATTGAGGCTCAGCCTTTTGTCCCGATGCTTCTCCTTCTTACTTGGGGTCTCAGCAGGGAGGGAAAGCTGCAGGGCTTCCAGCAAGCGGGACTGGTTGTCATCCAGGTCTGTGATCGAGTCTACCGACATGCCTCCCTGCAACACAATCATGTACTTCATCAGTTTAAGCTGAAGATGGCCCGATTCCTGTTATGGAGCTTAGACTTGGATATGACTTACCCTCCTGCGTGCTCGGGGTGCAGCCTCAGGCGTGTTGGGTGACGTTGACTCATTGGCCGTCTCTGAGGTGGAACTCAAAGAGGAGTTACTACTGGACAACTCTTTAGTGGACGGCCTCTTGGTGGCAAACTGCGGAACAGATGAACCAAGACTTAGATTTGGCTTTTACTTCATACTATACACACATACTATCCAGAACGAGATCTCACCTAGGGTGAACCAAACTCTGGTGAACTTGGAAGCGAACTGAGACTGTCCCGTTTTGACTTCGACCAGAGTTCAGTTCTTTGGTCACTTTTGGCACTAGTGTTCATTTGAGCTTTCACACCACCAAACAAACAATCCAACAAAGCCTACCAGAGTTCGTTTGAAATGGACCAGACGGCTTAGGTGATTGCACCCTTAATGTTAACAGAGGGAATCATCTATGAAAACTCCACTCAGTAAAATGGATATAGCATCCTTGGTATTTTCAGTGGAAAAAATTAAAGTTAAAATGGTGCAGCGTATAGGTCAAATATTCCCACTGGTGCTCGAATACTCTGGGAGAGGATTGCTTTCTTAAAAAAACATATCAAGTTAAGCAGGGAAACAGCCAGGTCCAAAGCATCAGTCTCCTAGCGATGGCAGAGGCAATTATTCAACTGAGTTCAGACTTACCTGTATAATGGAGGAGACGAGGTCTGAGGAGTCCTTGTGCTCCTCGCGGGGCGGAGGGTCCTGACGATAGCCGTCCTGACGCTGCCTGTGCGTCCTGTCATTGGCGATGACCTGGGAGAGGGGTATACTGAAGGCCTGGGGTATGCATTCTGGGGAAAACATCAGGAAGAGAGGATGAAGAACGTGAAAATGAAAGCAGGAAATCAAGAGTTCATGGAAGATGGCTAAACGAAATGACAAAAGAACAAAAGTAAGCCGCAATAGGAAGTTTTATCGTAAGACAACCAATTGATTTCACTGCCTTCATTGCACAAATTCATTTGCAATGTTTCTATACTGAAAGTGTTTCAATGTATTTGTTCAATTAATACAGTCTCCAGGAGTTTGCTTGCAATTATTGGTCATTTAAAACAAGAAATGACCCAATATCAGATGCCTAAGCTTCTGTTGTTGTTGCTGTGGTATCAAAAACCTTTGATTTTCTCCGATCTTATCAAAGTTTTAGATACTGTAAGTCTGACAACCCTATAAGCAACTTCCAAAAATAGTTTTACAACTCTGTAACTCCAGAAACATCAAACATATCTCCATTTAAAGTCTTTATCACTGGCCTTTTACACATGATAAACGCCTCCAAACACATTTACTGCATCAATAAAAGCTCCTACAGGCGACAGCATCTGTTTTCCAAAATAAGACATCACAGAAAGCAAGTTCAAGCTTTGACAGACCACTAATTCTAGTCCTTTTCACCATAATAACACAACTCTGATGATTCTCTACCACAGGCAAATGTCTAAGTCTCCATGGAGGCCAATTTTTAGAATCCTCTCAGCGATGAAACATCACAACCAGCATGTTATCCAGCTCTTTTGTTCCATTTTACTCATTTGGAGGAATGACGAAAGACAGTGTTGAGTTAGCTTTGGCAAGAAGTTGCAAGTGACATAGTTAGGCAAGAGTTTATACAAAGGCATTGCAATGAACTTGGAGCTTGTTGCAGATATGAACAAGGCTAACTTCAGACAGAAATGATGTCATACTGGGCCATCATAGGCGATATATTCCATTGGACTCCCAAAAGCTGGAGCTAGCTGTTGAGAAAACACATGCCCAGCTGTTCAATAAATGTGTGTGTGGCCATGTATGTGTGGGGGGAAAGCAGTCAAAGGAAAACTGAGGACGAGAACTCAAAAATACATTCCATAACCACAACTGGAGCGCCGCGGTTCGTGAACAACATGACCGCTAACACTGTGACACAACAAATTTGTTCTGCAGCCTCGTTGGGCTTATGTAACCTGAACACAGACATGCACATACACTCTTGCACAATCTGGATCCCATAATGTCCGATGCACTGCCAACATATTGCTCAGCACTTCATCCACAACCAGACCATATTCATCAAGTCATGTCAGATTTTCATAAATCTACATTTTCCAGGCCTGCAGACACTGAGGGAACAGCACAGCAACTTTTTCTTCTTCATGTGTTTTCTTTGATGCAATTAAAGTCCAAGCAGAAAGAAAGTTGTAATGGCCTTGGGAAGTTTTAAATAACATCAAACTTTTGTTGTGCACAGTTGGTTGAGTTTACAACATGAAAAATACGGAACTATAAAAACACTTGCCTGCTTTAAAGTGAAACACAAGGCTTTTTCTTTCCCAGGGACCGTGAGAGAAGATTGAACTAAAAACTAATTTGGCAGGTGAAACCACAGCTCCATCTGAGCCATCTGTTTATGGACGAGCAGGACCAGACATGGACTCAAGAGGAGGGAAAACTGGAACATTTACATTACATAATATATAGAACTGAAAGTATTTGTTCAGCAATAACTTTTTCTGAAAGTTTCCTGTATCCCCGGATATCTATCCTGCCACTGTACTCACAGTTGCCTCATTTGCCATTGGAATGATCCACTTCAATGTAGCCAAAGCATGTGCAGTATGTTCAGCCAATGCAGCTGTAGCATACTGAAGGATCCTCATCATCTTAATAATCTTAACACTCAGAGCTTGGCAGCTGTTTCTGGTACTTAACTCTAGCAGCAAATAATTCCAAGCTCATTCCAAGGCTAACAAAGATGGCACCAATGGAAGTCCAATTTGTGTACTGGGGGATTCAAAGGTATTTTTGCGTGCTTGACAGCACTATTTAACTTGGCTTTTGGTTCAATTTCTGAAAATAATCTGAATGCTGTTAAATCCAGGTCGCACTCGTATGTAGGAAACAGTAATGCCTTAAAACACCAAACTGACTTTAATGTTGGAAGCAGAGGGTAAGATATGTGCTATTTGGCGCCAAGTTGACAGTCCATTTTACAATGGAAGTGAATGAAAGAGGATGCTACAGTGCTTGGGTTGCAACTCTAGGTTTCACCAAAATATAAAGCCATCTGTTACAAGTAATTTAAAGATTTTATTGCATGAAAAAGGCGATATCGGCATCGCCCCCAAAAATCGGTCGCCTGATTTATATTAGCCGTTCCTGTCAGTCACTTGAGAATACTGCAGGTTGAGCTACAATCTGCAGTAGTGTGTAAATTTCTCACATACCAATGACTTGATATCGTAATCAAGGCATGCATCAGTAACCACATTCTCACAAACTTGAGAAGAAAAGCTTATTTTATCTCCTGCTTCTCTTTGCAACTGCACTCCTCTTTCTTGTCTCTTTCTGCCAAATTTTCTCTTCATGCAGCAGAGTGGCTGCTTCTCAGAGCCGGTCCCCTTACAAGGAGTCCCTTCACTTTAAGCTAAATATAAACTGTCAAAGCCCAGTAAGCAGAAAGTGTGTTTTTATAACCTCGCTGTTCACCTGCCTGAGGTGCGGAGACCATAGTCTGGCCTTCTGTCTCACTGAAAAGCTGGTGTTAGAGTCGTGACAAGGACTGGGAAAAAAAACAAAAGGGAGAACAAAAAGAGAAAACCCTGTGAACTTGTATAAAAGAACTTGGCGTACCTTTGTCTTTACTCTTCTCTTTCGCAAGCGAGTCCAACTTCCTTCTCAACGACTTTTTCCTCTTCTGTCCATCTGTGCCGGAAGAAAAACAAGAAAATAAATCAGGGGTAGCAAATGGTTTCCATATCTGCCGAATCTTATCTCGTTTCTTTCTAATAAGCTTACATCAGGAATGCAGACTTCGATTAACCACAGGGGAGAACCTGTCTATGAACTCAAATCCAGTTCACTGAAACATCAGACAGGGTCAGCTTTGGTCAGATGATTGTGTTAAATCGCTTATATAGTTTATCTACAAGGGGCTGATATGTGTGAAGGGTTAAAATAAACAGTGTACTGTAATACCATAGTTGCACGCCAATGTTTTTTTTTTAACCATGTTTACTGTGAAAAATACATTCGTAGTCTTCATACTACAACCCGACCGATTCATCAGTCAGCCGATAATACCGGCCGATATTATCATAGCCAGTGACTTTCAATATCGGCTAATTTTATCTCAGACATGCGCAGATATTACTAGATTTAGTCACCAGCTATTTAATTTAAGTTTCATTGTATTACACTAGCACTTCTCTTTCACCAGCAGAGGGCGCTATATGGATTAAAACAAGCTTTATCGCTCTCCAAAAATTCTCATATCGGTCGGGTCCTAAGTTATACCTCAACATATTCAGACCTTTTTATTTAACAGTTAATATTTTTAACCCTCTCTTTGATTATCATTGTCGAATGGAAAGGCCAAGTATACTGGCAAAATTGGAACCTGAAAACTACTGTCGGGACAAAATATCAAAACAGCCATATATCACAGTCCTGACTCGTGTTATTCAAATGCAAATGCTCTCAGCTAATTTCCCTAACGACTGGACACCACATAATTGTTCCATTTCAGGCTGTTGCTAAAGGGTTTCTGATATTGTTGCAATGCTACCTACAGGGCATCTGTCTTTTCAAGTGGTCTCGGTTATTAATGTTACAAGTCCTACTTTGAAAACTAGAAAGTAATAACGTCTGACGCAACAGGAAACATCACTTGTTTTTCAAAAAAAGATCCCTCAGTTGATCCAAAAGGGAGGTTTTTTATGCATATGTGAGCACTTTAGATCCAGGTTTGTTGGACTGAAGTGCACTTAAAGAAGGAAGGCCACTTTGTCAGCCATCCACATGATGGATGACTCCTGATTAATGATCAGGAAGATCTGGAAATCATGGCACAGGCGACTTGAAAGCCTCAGACTCCTCGTCTAGGGGGCCAGGATGTCAGTTTGTGAAACCTCAGCAAACTTCCGATGCTATCACTCGGTCACTTTGTTCTGTTTGGTGTCTGGAATCCAAAACCAACTTTGTACAGATCATTTTGGACCCATGCGGAGATGCATGCTTTGGAGTAATGGTGCAGCAGCCTCAGTTTGAACCCCCAGATGTTCCCTCTGCTGTATCAAATGAGTCACTCGTGAAACTCTATCCAACTCCCAACATACATTTTGATGGTAGCATTTGCCGGTTACGTCAATGAGCAGGTTCAGTTTCAGCATGTGTCCAATTTTATCCACACATCTGAACCAGTCTGACTTCGCTGCTTGTCTTTTGATTATCAATGTGCTGCCATTGTGGTGATATATTTGGAAACATTAAGGAGTCCAAGCTGAAAGAAAAACTCACAGCTTGGAAGTGAAATCTTTGGAGAAAAATAGGTGGGAAGGGGTGTGACACTGGAGAAAGAAAGCAGATGTTTTGATGGAGACTGAAGGCAGAGAGAGAGAGAGGGGAGAAGCAGAGATAGGAAATGGTTTGGATTTTTGACGGATGGCTCTCAAAGCCGTACGGAAATCCCCCAAACCTCCAAAAAACCTCCCCCACCCCCAACCCAACTCCCAACCATTCTGATGAACCTTTGCTTCTTTTCTCATCACACCCTCATCCCATCTCATTATGTCTCTCTTGGTTCTGTTTCACTATAAACTCTGTTTTTCGCTCTTGGAGAAACTCTAGAAACATGACCCTTGGCGCCCCGGGTAAATATGAGAAACAGCGGGGCTTTAACGCCCACATTAGCGGCGCTGAAATAGCAATCACACATATACACACTCTTTCTCTCTCTCTTACACACGAGTTGAAATATTTCCCTAGCAAGCACATGGCAGCCGTTAGGGGCTCTGGAATTCATAAGCAACACAGACAAGTACGTATTAAATCATGCTGGGGAGAGGTTTAACCTTCAGCTGGAATGCGAGGCCCTGGATAATCCACGGGCTGCACTATAGTGCTGTGGCGACTGCCAATCCACTCCTATACAGTGTATGGAGAAAATGCTGCTCGCTGTGCATTGTGTAAGCTAGAAGTGACCCGTCTGATAACAGGATTTGGCTCAAAGTAAAAGCCCAAGGTCTGAAAACATAGCACCCGAATAATCAGGCAAAATGTAAACAAGCCAGTTGCTCGTTGTTCTAATCAAGTGGGTTTAAAAAAAGGTACAATCGAGCTGTCTTGAGATGATAAATGAGAGAGGGAGGCAATAATATTATTTCTGCTGCATAAAAATTAGTGCGGCTAACCTGGGGGGTTCTTCAGTACTCACATTGTTAAAACTGTTGAAGCCTCTAACCCTGATGATGTCATCTCCATTTGAGTTTTTGTCTTCAAGAGGAGAAAGTATTGAGACTTGAGCATTTTACCAGGAAAGGGAAAGCTAACAAGGTTGCTTTTTAAGGGGATCTGCTACTGTTTCACATATGATTCAGCTTTTTTGGAGCTTATTGAGCATTATTTGGTCTCTGCTGATTCCACTCCTTCTTATTCCAATGCGTTATCACCATATTCCCAAATTCAATCCTGTCTCATCCTGGTCAACACATGATCTATAAAAGCAGATATTCACATTAAGTTTTTGATGTCATTCATTTCACTGTAAGTAGCAATGTGCTCACATAGTTGTGATGGTTATTAACTTGTTTTTATTGTGCCCCCTCATTTGTCTGACCTCAGTGGTTCTCAGACATTTCCACTCCAATTTTGGAGTGACACTTAGGATGGCCAATCACGGGGGCCCAGACCGTGCCCTGGCCACTCCCCTGCCTTGACCCTGTTATGTGTCCAAGCCACCCCTGGGAGTTTTGCCCCATAGTTTGAACCACTGCCTCACTTTGAGTACGATAGGTATACATTGCTTTTTTATCTTAGTGATGCATATTTTTAGCATGGGTGTTCCCGCTGGGAAACAAACCACATGAAGTCCACCAGTTTCCGTGCAGTGGTCTGCCGAGTTCTGCTTTATCTGGATTCATTTGCCTAATTTAGTCATTTTCCAAACCTTTACTCCCTCATTGGACCAAAATACAGTTGTTTAGCTTTAACGTAGCAGCACAGGAACAAAACTTTTTAAAAGGGTTTACATGGGGACTTGTTGGGTGATAGAGTGCACTCCGCCCTTAGCTGCTGCAGAAAGGGAGTCGCGTGTCATTATGAGCAGGGGGAGTCAGCAGATACCACGTCCAACAGGAAGCACCCGATCCCAATGTGAAGTGGTTTATATCTACACCCATGTGTTGTCACGACTTCCCCAAACACAGATCCAACACGACTTCCCTTAGATACACTCGAGGCGTGACAGGAGGATGTGGTCAGAGGCTTTACTTTATGGGACACTTGAAAGTAGATGCAGTTAGCTTACACAGCAAACCGGAGGGTTAAGAATATCAAAAGAGTGGCGTTTGAGAGATGGAGAAGTTCCGGACTTAATCCCAAATGGGTTTGTCACAGTTAACAGCCACGTAAAAGTTTAGGTCTTGAAAGCCTGACGTTATCGGAAGTTTGCTGAAGCAGTAAATGCCACCCATCCCGAACTAACATACATAAAAATGACATAACACTGTTGAACTTTGCTTTGCAACATGCGTAAAAAAAAAAATACTCATTCCACAACCTTTTGGCATGGTTATCTGACATCCAAGGTCATAGTCCTGGTGCAAGCGAGTGTAGGCCACTTCCTGCAGCTTGGCCCTCTCCAGCTCCGACAGACTCTGGATAGCGACTGGCGTCAGACGTACGCTCCGCCCCGACAAGCTGCTCCATGTGAAGTCACCCTGGGGTGGGAAAAAAGTAACAAAAAACTATAAGACGAGAACGTGCAAGTTTTTATGTAACCTGTTTCTGCTGCTTTCCATCTAAAAAAGAGATCATGAGTTCACAAAAATGTTTAGCTCATTAGTTGCTAAAAGCCTTGCTGATTTAGCAACTAATGCTAACAGGACATGGCACTAGGAAGCCACCATACCACTGTTTTTTTAGCTTTCCATATGGAAGCAATGCTGAGGAAAGCCCAAATTATGAAGCAAGAAAACATTTTTCACAACTAAAACCTGCAGAGTAGGGTTATAATTCTGTCCTTTTTTTGTTTCCACTATTACAGTCTATAATAAGGATGAGGAAAATACAAGATTAGGAGGCAGAGTAAGGGCAAAGAGTTGGCCTTTGCTTTCTTTAAATAATAAAGACAGTATGGAAAAAGCTTTTTTTTAACGTGATGGTAATCAACGATGAGCTTGGGGGTAGATTGTATTCAATAAAATGTAGAACCAGTAATTACAATCATAAAAATTACCGAACTAATATGACAAGCTGGAAATCTACAAGTTTGCATTCATAACGGAACATAATCCAAACCAAATGTGCGAAATCAAATAACATACTTGGGGGAGATAAACTGAGATATTGCATGTGTGTAGGAAAAAGTTTGGTCCTTCTCTTAAGAGCAGTTGAGGACATGGCAAGGCCTCAAACTGATGGATTTGCAATATGTTCTCTGCGCACATTAAACAGCATTAAGAGCGCAGAGCATATGTGGAGGAGGAGATGTAGTTACGATAGGGTATAGAAAGTGCTCATTTTTCATCCCCAGGCAGGTTAACATCGCAGCTTTTGGCTTCATCTCTGATCAAGGTGGAATAGATTGAAGTGAATTCAAATGAATTGCCTGAGACCGCTTTGAACACTCGAGTCATCTGAATCACTCGTCATGCATTCCTTTCCCCGTCTACTGCGAGAGAGGAGGTCAGAAAGAGGGAGAGGTTAAGACGGAGGGGGAAAAAGAAAAGCGAGGAGACACTGCTGCAATTTATCTAATGCCTTATCCAGACTGAGAGCTTACAAGTCTACTCTAATGTGTCTGTGTTCATGAGCTCTTGATTTTGTTCGGCTGCAAGCGGAGCAAAACCGTTTTGCGTCAGTTTTTATCTTGAAGAAATAAAATTCCATCCTGTTGACCTTTTGGAATGATGTTTACTCGTCGAGTCTTCTCAGACAGCTCTGAGCAACTCATTTAACACTGCAACCCAACAAACGGCCCTATGCATCAAAATGTGAATCTTTTGGTGTTCCTCTGGGTACACATGTTGGCTTTGTATAGTTTAGTGTTTTGATGAGGTGTAAGGTTGTTTGAAAAGCAGAAAAAAAGGCCACTTGGTTGTCGTTTGGGGGAAATCAATGACCATACTGTACTGTATCATATTGTCCTGTATGGTAACATACTGTAAAAAACAAACATGAATTTGCTTTTCACGCTCAAGCCTCCATCAGCACCTCCTGCTAACCCTCTTGTTAAAAGCCCCCCTCTCGGTGTAGTGAAGCAACAGGGCTGTCATTCAGCCATGGGAGGGAAACAAGATGTTGACAGAGGCAACCTGTAGAGCCCTCTGAGATTGTGTGCAGACCAGCATGTAACTAGTCCAGTGGGAAGGAGTTGCATGTTGCCCCCCCCTTTAGTAGGGCACAGCTGTGTGTGTTTTTTTTTGTACGTGCGCACTTGTGTATGCCATTCCTTATCGCTGGCCGAGGAAGCCCTTTTCCCTATTGCTTGACCTCACTCGCAGCGTGAAGGGGCACACTCGCAAATGCACATGTACATACACACACGCCGCAAAAAGAAAAGACAAACAGTTGGAAAAGTTAAATCGGGGCCTCTGCTCGGTCAGGCTGGTTCTGCCCCGTGGGGTTCTGAAGGGGATGGATGAGCTTCAGTTCTGAAGTGTCAAACTACGAAAACCCCTGGAATGCTGACAGAAGAGGGTAAGACGAAGACTAATTCCTGATGCCACTGCTGGAGTCTGGCCACAATGAGCTGAAAGCCGATGTGACCTACAGTGACTCTATTCAAATTTACAAACCGAGACGTTCCAGAGCCAACCTGCATGGTTTAACTTTTGACAAAGTAGCCTCTTGTGCAGCGATTCTTTTCTTGCCCTGGCTGCAACCACTAAGTTATCCTTTATATATATTCCTTTCACAAGCACTGTTTGTTTGCTTTTTAGCATGATCATGCATTCAGATAGTAACATAGCACACTTAAGCTGGCTACAAACGACTATTTTCAAACCTTAACCGATTGTGAAAAACTGTGAGACCAAAGACTTAATGACAGTGTCGATCTCTTTTTAATAGAGCTTTGGAGACGGATTATGATCGTCTTTAAGAAGATGTTTTGTATTGGGAAGAGGAAGTCATCTGTTGGACAAACTCGTATTTGTTTTCTTTTACAAACATTAAAGACAATAGATGGCATTGTGGGAGTCTTACACCAAAACAAGTCATGAGAAAAACATTGGTATCTCTATTAGGGCCCGACCGATATTGGATTTTTTGGGGCCAGTACCGATATCAATATTAGAGAGGAATAAACCTGATACCGATATATCGGCCAATATCTATCTTTGATCTGTAGAGATAGATTTAGATTTACACATGTATTGCATTCATCCTCAAATGCTAACATCGGCCGGCCGATATTATCGGCTGGACGATTTATCAGTCGGCTTTTGGCAATGGTTACTTCAAACATTGGTATCAGCCCTGATTTTCACAATCACTGCATCTCAAGTAATTACCCTTGGTAGTGGCTCTCTGGCTAGCTGTTTGGCTAACAATGCAGCTCAATTCTGTGCCCCACAACTGTTGCATTTTTCTGCTCGACACAGGCTGATTGATAAAACAGCAGGCTGCAGTACAGGGGCAAATCCCCAATGAGTACTCATTTCATTTTGAACATATTAAGGCTGCGGCTCTCTCCAAACTGCTTGTTAGAATCAGAGTCAGAGTGAGTTTTATTGTCAGGGGACTTTGCATATAATTGGAATTAGTTTGGTTCTGGTAGATAAGGCCAAAGAAAAGAATGGTTGGGAAAATACTTGTTTAAAGTAGTCAAATTTAAGTCACTTGAGTCTAAAAATAACTAAACAAGCACACTCATCACATGTTGTGTTTTTTTCCCCAACTTTCCCACATGTCACTATAAACTCAAAATTCCCACAAAAATGCCAAGGTCACAACTTGGAGTCCAGGGTTTTCTTTTCGATTAAGCAAATGTAGTGAACAAAATATGGGGGGGAAAAAAGCTTCAAGTGGACGAAAGAACAAAAGATTAAAGCTTTGAATAAACTCTTTACTGATTAGAGCAACTGATGTTGGATCCAATTTGGCCGTGATTCATTTCAAATCAATGGCCAACTTTACATGGCCAGACATCCAAACCCTGGCCGGCAGCAAAAGCAAACACACAATCTGCTTGGCAAAGTGAAAAGTCTGTTTGAGTTCTTGATAAGAGAACTATCCTTGCTAGTAAGAATTCTAAAGTTGTCACTCTTATGAAGGCCGACAATTCATGCTAAATTCTTTGCCCATATTAGTGGTGTAAATACTTATGTTTGGGATAACCATTACCAAGCCCCATCATATTTTTATCTATCTCAGTGTTTCCCCTACCATTATATTGGGGGGGGCAGTTTTTAAGATTTATTTTTGGGCTTTTTGTGCATTTTATTGTAGGGATAGGACAGTGGATAGAGTCGGAAATCAGGGAAAGAAGTCATTTAAGGATACCTTTCCGATAGAAAAGGACAGCTGCCATTAAAAGTGACACATAAACACCAAGATTCCTTCAAGTGTTTGTGTCGTCGGGTCGCCGTGTCGGCATGTCGGCTTGTCCCCACCCCCCCAACGCTGTAAACCTAGGGGAAACACTGTATCCCATCAACTTAAACAGGATCACATGTTACAAGGCCACAAATTCACAAATGTATTCCTGCTCCTCATCTCACCAACGTCAAGCTACCGTAACAAAGAATGCCTTTGGAAAAAAAAATGCAACCAAAGCATCCATAACTTCAGCTCCCAGTGTGACGCGGACGCTTAGTGAGATGTAACACTGTTTGCATAGCCTGTATAGAGACAAATCTCGCCATGCAAGCGAGTGTCACAAATCTTTCAACTGCTAATGTTTGTCTCCAAAATATAAACCCGGTTGCTAAGCCTCAACACGACCGCCATCATCCGTTTTTTCCTCTTTTATTTATTAGAACTCTCAATCCCCCCACCCATGATGTTTGCTGGAATGGCCGAGCAGTTCTTAATCAGATAATCTGGAGTTTAACAAATGGTATTTTCTGCCACTTTGCTTCACTTAATCGAATTAAGCACAGGCGGAGATAAATCAGGATAAATAAGGAATATGCTGTGCAGGATATAAACAGACGAAGAATGCAAGGCGTGATTTAAGTGTGAAATTCACCAAAGCCAAACAACAACAGCTTGGTGAAAAGTTCACTTGAACTCCCTTTAGAATTTTGCTTATATACTAGTTGCCTACATTTATCACCTGGTTTTATAAACTTAGGTAATTTTTCTTAAGTATATTTGCTTGAATTTTACATTAAGTTCAACAATATTCAGAACAGAATATTGTGCAATCCTGCTTTCATCTGCGTTAAAGGTAACATATTATTCAAAATACACTTCACCATGCTTTTCTGACACTGCTGTGTGTCTCTAGTCTGTCTACAAACCCCCCATTATGAGAAAAGTCCATCCTCTCCGTCTTTTGCCTGCTCCACTTTTCAGAAAACGTTTGCTCAAACAGGCTGTTTGGAGATTTTCCCTTCATGACATCACAAAGGGCAGTAGCCCCTCCCCCAGGTGGGTGACACTCCCCCAGCTAGGTGTTTGTTCTGCCCTCTGAGTCTGCCTTCTCACAGTAAACAATAGGGCGTGGTGAAAGAAAGCCCGAGAAACCCGAGCCCTTCCAGAGAGGGGGCGT